TTACATGTGAAACCTTGCGGCCTGGACTCCCAGTGACTGGGGGTTCCACTGGGGAGGCTAGTGGGACAGCTGTGGTCTTCTTCATGAAGGGCCGTCGTCAACAGTGGCCAAGCCTTTGGGTCCCTTCCTGACCCTACACTTGGTTTTGTTCCTTGGAGTTGTCCATTCTCAGCAAGGTCACAGCCCTTGGCTTCCGGTCCTGTGTTCCTGTTGCCTCTGAGTGCCTCGCTTTGGGGTACCGACTCTAAGTTGCAGAGCGGTAAGGAATATCTGAGCTTCTGTTTGCCACGGAGGGAACTGTGTGTGATCCCGACAAGCGTGTGTTTGCCTTCTTTGACTCCAATTTTAAAAACAGGTGTAGTGTTTTACCCTTAATAAGCTGAAGTCTATAAAATGCTTTTAACATCCAACTGCTCCACGGTGCAGGAAATATACCTATTAGTTTGGGAGGCCTTTGGATAGTATTGGTACAATGCACGTGATAATTTTAATTAGTTAACACTTTGTTCAAGAGAGAATGTCAGACAGACACCTGGTATATAGACCGGGTCCAATAAACTTTTCTTGTATTGAATGGAGTTGAATTTCTAATCTGGGGGAGACCAGGCCTGCAGAAAGTGGGCCCAGGGTGCAGCCTGTCCTGTGTGGCATGCAGGTCTCCCTGGAGTGAAGGGAGGCTTGTCCCAGGAGGGGGACCAGAGCACACTGAGCTCAGGCTGCAAGTGGCTGCTGTGGGCAGGAGAAGGAGCACAGGAGGGGCATACTTTCTTTTTAGACTGGGGCATGAGGCAGGTAGTTTCAAGCCTCAGAGGTTTGATTTATTTTCTTATTTGTCCAACAGGACAATAACACCTGATCTGCCCATTTCAGAGTCATTTTGAGTTTAAAAGAAAGTCAATACATATGGAACTCCAAGGAAAACTAAAAACCACTCTATCAATATAAGACACTGCTGAGCTGTGTTTCTCTTCACACTGAGTGGTAAGACAGACACAGTTTCCTCCCACAGCCCACCTGGAGCAAGAGCACTGCCTGCTGAGGACACGTCTACAGGTTTCTCTCTGATGCTGTCAGAAGTTGTCTTGCATTCCGAAGGGGACAAGGAAAGCACTTTCTGAATTTGGACATCTGAAGGCTTCCATTTGGCCTCAAATGCTGGCAACCCTCTTACAAAGTGAAAACATTCAAAAAAAAAAAAAAAAAGCCCAGATGATCTCATAGGTCTTCTCTACCTCTGAAACAGATGGTGTGATTCACACACATTTGACATAAGTGGACCAGGTTGTGATGATTTGCCTCATTATGCACAGTTGAAGAGTGGATTAACTAGCAATAATATGGTGAGAATGTAAAGCATGACCTCTGATTAAAACAGAAGGTGGGAGTGGGTTATCTCGTGGTTAAAGCAGTGAACTATGACTCAAGGCTGTGAGTTTCTAATCTCAGATCAGTAACCTTGTGTGTGACCTTGGAAGCCTTGCTAGAGGCCTTCAAGAGTACCCTTAATTTGTACATGCTGGTCACTCATCCTTAAGAGCGTTGTAATAAGTTCTTTTGAGAACAGTGCGGGTGGTAATTAATGGTTAATAGTACTAAAGAGAGAGCCATCAGGAACGACTGCCAAATGCCCATGATGCTTTCGAGAGTATCCAGACTACTACCTAGAGACACTAGAAAAACGCAAATCCCACAGTTTCCAGAAGATGTCTGTTGCCTTTGCCTTCAAGTCAATCATCTCCCCTGTCAGCACTCTCTAACATTTTCTGTGATAATGGAAATATTCTCCATACACTCTGTCCAGGGGTAGCTGCCACTCATGGCTATTGAGCCCTTGAAATACGGCTACTGAGGCTTAGGAACTAAATTTTACATTTGATTTAATTTTAATGAATTGAAACGTATATGTAAATAGCCACCTGTGGCTAGTGGCTACCTTATTGGACAGCACAGTTCCAGCTGACTCGAACCTCCTCATAGCATCTGCACGAGGGTGAGGCTGAGAAGGTAGTACAAAGTAATTAACTAATTAGTCAGTCTATGTTTAAAACATTTTTTGCCTCCTTTTTTCAGGTTGGTGAAAGGAGTGGCTGAATCCAGGGTCTGAAGTGACAGATTACCAAAAAAAGAGTTTCCCCACACTCCTGTACTATTTCCCTCTCCTCTCATGCGTATGAAAAGGAGAAGACACCTAAACTCATGAACCAAAGGCTAAGCTAGATCGTGTTATTCTAACGCAAAACTTTTCTCTACAAACCTCAGAAAATAACCAGTAAGACAGGATTCAACAGAAACATCAGCCTCCTTGCGCTATTCTCAGACCACCTCTGGGGAGGGAGAACCACGGAGGCATGGGCGCACACTGTCATGGATTGTTCTTTGCGATGAGCCCCGCTACCCATACCCAGCTCCACTTATCTCTGGAGCTCAAGCTCCACTCCCCTCCCCGCACAAGACACATCAACTGAAAACCAGAGGGTCACAATCACGGAGGAAAGTGCTGGTTCCCATTCCCTCCAAATACAGGGTGTCTTTTCTTCTTTGCCTCTTCCATGTAAACTCTGTGGCAGGAAACTCTGCAGTACATCATACGCAAGCCTTGTGCTGCTCTCTCTGCCTTTCCACGGCATTCCCATGGCCCAAGAGGGGTGGGAACAGTAGCTGTCTTCACTCACCTATGTCCTCACCCTTGGAGTGAACTTACTTAAACTCTCCATGGTAAAGCATTTATTCTTCCTCCACACCTTTGCTTAGTATTGCCCAATCTTTTGTATATGTATATATTTTTTTCTGAATAGTGCATTTCTCAGGTATTCTAAAATCTAATAATGGGACAGGGTTTGGTCACTGTAATTCTCCTTGTGCACTGCCCAGCAAAGTGTCAGATGCAATTAGGGGCTTAATCAACACTTCCTGATAACGGATAAAAGACTTAGACACAATGGGATTTTTACAGCTTTTAGATTTTAAGGTCCTTGTTTTAGTCAACATATTGCAGAAAACAATGTATCTTTTGCCCTTGTTGGATCTGTTGAAGGGAGTGGATTTATCTTGGTCCTTTTGGGGAAGGACTTCAGAATTGGTCATGTATTGTTCAGGTTGATGTCATAATTATTTGAAGGTTAGGAAAACAGCCCTAAGCTCAGCTGGCAGTTACTGTTGGTGCAGGAGGAAGAAAGATTGCATGATAAAGACATCGGTGGTCCATTTTCTCAACAGTGAAATGGAAAGAGAATAAAAATTCTTATTCATGAAATGGTCACAGTGCCCTGCTAATGGCCAGCAAATATGACTACTGAGACTGTCAAGCATATTCAAGTTGGGAGCCAGGTGAGAGTAAAGTCCATGAGGAACGATGGCTCATCACAGCCATGCTGCCACTGCCTCCCATGTCTTCTGGTTTATCTCCTTGCATGTCTATTTTCTAAGGAGATCATTTTGAAATAGAAAAACCATTCATTCTGCTCCCAAATTCATCCTTAACTGAAAGATGTAAATAAATAGAAATAATAAGTATGTTGCCGCTTTTCCAAGTTAAAAAGTCTGCAACAAACAACAAAGCAGTGATTCTCAAAGCTGGGTTCTTGAGTCAGCTGCATTAGCATCAACTGGAACATGCTAGAAACATAAATTCTTGGGCCCCACCCCAGACCTACAGGAGCAGAAATTTTGTGGGTGGGGCCCAGCAAATCACGTTATAAAAACCCCTCCAGGTGATTCTGCACTAATATTTGAGAACCACTGCTTTACAACAAGGTCAAAATCATTGAAACTATTCCTTTCGATGTTGTACTAAACTGTCCTAAATGAGTACCCCTGAAATGCCAAGTCGTTCCTGATTCTATAAATAAGGTCTGACCAAGCACTCAACATGTTCAGCCAATAAGCCCTAGTTCTGACTTCTAGCAGGTCTGCATGTTGTGTGCCTGGGACCTGATCAAGCCGCCCACACACACCCCAGGAGGCTCCCAGGGGGCCACACGTGCTTCTGGGCTGGGCCATATGTGCTCATCTGCTTCACAGTGGGAGATGAAGGGGAGATGCCTCTTCTAAAAGGGGCACAGAGGGGGAACGGTGACACTGGAGATCTACGAATTTTCCATCATTCCTTTTTTGGAGGGGAGCAAATATTTAGCACTTTTCAATCACTATTTCACTATAAATAACAATCAAAAGAAAGTGCTTATAAAAAATTAGGCTAATGATGGTGAGAACAACACAGTCTATACAGAAACTGATAAATAATAACGTAGACCTGAAATTATACAATGTTATAAACCATCATGACCTCAATAAAATAACTGGGGAGGAAAAAAAAAGAAAGTGCTTATAAAATTAAAAAAAAAATAGGGCCTCTTTGCAGACGCATTAAGTTGTGCATCCTTCATGGTAAGTACAAGAGATGACAGGGTGCAGCGTCTAGAGAATTCACCACCGGTGTGTGTCTGTGTGCTTATTTCCCACATCGTTGTCCCTCAGTTGCAACGCTTATTAACCAGTACCTTCCAGTCACAGACATTCTGGCTTTACCCGGTCCTATCCTATCCCACAACTACCCTCCAGATTGTAAGGAGAATCACCAAGACTTTACTGTCCAAACGATCCACAGCCTTTCAAATTTCTGTCTGATAACAGGGTCCGCCCATGTAACCCAGGCTTTGCATGCCCCAAGAACACAAGGACAGAAAAACATCAAAGCACCAGATGCTCAACAGTGTTTCATGATATTTTTCATCACGAGAAAAACCTCCGTCCCAAGAAAAATGGAAAAGCAAACTCTCCTCAGGAACTTTTCTCACTTTGAATCGCACCTCTCATCACGACCTGCTACGCCCACACAGTCATGTGCCATCGGTACTGCGCACAGGCTCCAACTTTTCAAAGGCTCCAGAGCTATTTTTAAAGCCAAAATACAATCTAGGCTGCTATTCTATAAAGCACTTTTTAAGGAAGAACAAATTAATATAGAGAATTTTCTGCATGTGGGCAGTTAGCCAACTCACCAAAACACTGAATGCAGCCGTTGATGAGATCGTCCAGGCTGGCTCCTTTGGCTGAATTTCCCTGAAACACCATCATTTGGAACTGGGTGATCTGCGCCAGGCTGGGGTGGGAGAGGAGGGGGCTGCTGGCTGGCTTCGCCTCTAGTTTTGCTTTAGGGGCAGCTCTGCAGCCATGAGAAGGTTTCCTGGGGAAAGAGAGGAGGCAGTGAGTGCAAGCAGGACAGCCAAGGGACAAACAAACTGGCAGCGCTCTGCTCTGAAGGCAGATTGGAGAGGAAAGGAGTAGAGATAAGACAATTAATCCTGTGAGTTGGGCTGATCGAAGACATACCCCTCCCACTTGGCAAATGCACCATTCGGACTGGTTGGCTGTTAAAGAGACATCTCCCCAGCAAATAACAAGGTGAGATTTCAGGGCTGCAAGTAGGGCTCTTCGTCCTGGAGTCAGGATCGCTCTGGCCCACTGTCTCCAGGGCCTGAAGGGGAGAGGCAAGGTGCAACTATCTGAGCAGTCCTTAGCTCCTAGCAATAATTACTAATTTTAGCCACAAGGCCACTGACTTAAGTCTTAAGAACTGTTTAAGTTGGTCTCATCTTCAGCTAACCTCATTCATCTTGAGCAAACATGGGAGATGCTGTAGAAAGTCAGGCGGCCTCAGAAACACTTTAAGGACTTTAGCGAAGAAGTCAAAGACTAAAGACCCATGTGTAGGCTTGAGGGGTTACAGTGGTGGTGTTTAGATTTTGAGCTAGCCCTGCCTTTCTCACCAATCTTGGGTGGTTTTAAGATTCTGCTTCTCAATATTGATAATACAGGTAATCAGTATGAGTCATTTTTATTATTTAACAACATTCCATTAAGTCCTTACTTGGGTCCTTACTGATTGAAACAGAAAGCAGAGGTTATGAGAGCTTTATGCCAGAACTGAATGTGAAAGGACAAGGCTGGATCTGGAAATGGCTTAGAAGTCAATAGGTCACCCTCGTCCACTCTCATTCAGCCTCACCCTTGGTCATGACCTCAGTACAAGTCAAGTTGTTTGCAAAATGATACAGGAAGTTAATTAAGCATTTTATTTTCCCTTCCACTTAAAAAATAAACATAGGGGCTGGCCCCGTGGCCCAGTGGTTAAGTTCGCACACTCCTCTTTGGTGGCCCAGGGTTCGCTGGTTCAGATCCTGGGCGCAGACCTATGCACCACTCATCAGGCCACGCTGTGGTGGCGCCCCACACAGAAGAACTAGACTGACCTACAACTGGGATATACAACTATGTACTGGGGCTTTGGGGAGAAAAAAAGAAAAAAGAGGAAGATTGGCAACAGATGTTAGCTCAAGGCCAATCTTCCTCATCAAAAAGCATACCTTAAAAAAAATAAAAAACATACACAGACACATATCGATAATCTTTGAAGGTGTGACAGTGATGGGTGGCGCTGTTGGTAACTTCTCTGAGCATGTAGTTAACTCTTCTCTCCCTACTGTGGCTTTAGTTATTTCATAGTTTACTACCAAAGAGGAGATGAGAAAAAGAAATATACCTCAGATCGATAACTTTAGCTACTCACTACGCGCTTTGATAAACACACGATGGCATCAATTACCCAGTCAGTGCTTATTCCATGAGGAAGACATTGTGACAGGCCAGAGAGGACCAGTGAGAGAGAGTCTACGTGAGGGCACTGTGTAAACTGTAGAATGTACTCATTGTACGTTACTTGTTGCTGTTGTCATTGTTATTGTAGAAAATAGTCTCCCCCAGAAGGGACTGAAGACGTGCTTTGACCAAAATAAAATGCTGTGGTGCACGTGGATTTTGGGAAACCAGCCTGCTAAAAGACAGTGTACTGAGCTATGGGGCCACTCAGCGCACAGCTAGACGTGTGGAGGGGACACCCTGCCCTTCGAGCTGTTTCAAACTAGCTCCAGGGCGCTGGTCTGGCAGTGGCCGCTGGGCTCTGATCCAACCTGGGGGGTGGTGGGCAATGAAATTGAATCAACAACTGGCTACTGGGAATCTGCTAACCCAAGGCAGTGATTTCCAAAAGATCAAGCCGGTGTTACAGGGCTTGATCAAGTTTCCGGCCATTATTGATTTTTATCCAGGCCCTGCCATAGCCCCAGGATCAGATCAGTATCTGAAAATGAGACAAAATAATAATGGCCCCCATGAACTGAGTCCCTGTGATATGGCAGGCACTGGGCCGGGGATTTACATTGTCTTTAAAGCTTACAGCTCAGAAAGATGTTATCTCCATTTGGTGATGTTGAAACTGAGTCTGAAAGAGGCTAAATGATATAGCCAGGGTTGTAGAGTTCATAGGTGCTAGATCTGGGATTTTTTACCCAGCGCCCCTCTGGCTTTATTTAAAAAATATTACCATGCCTGGAATGGCGCACCTTTCACTCCATCAAAATTAGCAAGTGGACCATCACAGAGAGGCTGAAGAGGTCAATCAATTTAAGACAAAAGTAAAATCCTCCAAAAGCACAGATGATGACATAAAGGCTGAATCTGGGCCCTGCTCCTTCTGTGGATCCCTGGCACAGTCCTGGAGCGGGCCACACTCTGCCCAGTCATTTCCCAAGCCCTTTATCTACACATGCAGAGGTCTAGGCTCAGAAGAGGACCGTGACTGGCCACCAGTGCAGAGACAGGCAGAAGCCAGGCCTCCTGTGCCCATGGCCTTCTCCCACCTGGGCTCCCTTCCCTTCCTGGAAGCACTGACAACTCTCGAAACCGGGCGCTGGTTGTCCAGTGTTGGAATGAGTCAGCTTTCCACCTTAGCTGCCGCCTTTTCACCATGAAGACCTCCACTCAGGGCAGAGGCAAGAGAGTTGAAAATAAAGTCCTTCCCAGGAGAAGTGTTTAGTCATAAAAAATGACCGAATTCTAGAAGTGTTTCCCAGTGTCGCCAGGAGGGGAAACCACTTTGGTTGGCAAGGTGATTCTCGGAGTTCAATGCTTTTACCAGAACTAGGAGGGGCTCGGGCAAATTCAAGCAGAAAGGAACAGCTTGAAGGGAGTCTTGAGGGGAAGGGGCAGGGAAGGAGGGTGAGAGATGCATTCTGGGAAGGATGGAGGCCGGGGAGGTGCAAGGGGCCTGGGCATGAGAAACCAGGAGCAGAGACACTATTAAAAACCAAAGGGCAAACTGAGGGGTCTGCGAAGATGGGGGCATCTGCACCCTTAACTAGGAAACCCTGCTCTTCCTCCGCGCAGTCTCTTGACTGGCTTTGTGACAAACCATCAACTCGCTGTCTCTTCTGGTGAAATGGCTGTAGATAAGGATTTGTAAAATGCTTCACTCTAGACAGGTGTGAGGGTGTTTGAACAATCCAGAGAATGAATAGCCTCTAAGTCTGCAAAGGCATATTTTTAAAGGATGGTAGTCAAATGGTTCCTGGTCACTTCCCTCGTGAATTAAAAAGAAAAAAGTCCAAGAGAAACAAATTAACTTGAAAGTGTTTTCAGCGGCTAAAACGGGCTAATTAAAGCTCCATCAAGTTCGTGGAAGGAGATTGTCAAAACTCCGAACCGGGTCAGGTGAAATCCTCTCCAGGCACAGGTACCTCAGTGGAGGTCACGATTTCAGGTTGACCTTTATATGAAATCCAGCCCAGGAGAGTAAGAGATGAACTGGACGAAGAGAATGGAAACTTCCACCCCTTTCTTTGCAGTGGAAGGTGGCTTTTACTGGCTTCTTAGTCAGGATTCCTTCCAGTCTGTCCTCTCCCCGCCCCCATAATACAGATTCAACTTAACTTACTGAAGCCCTGCCCCCCACTCTAGTGCAAGGTCCTGCGCTGGATCCTCAGGGGAGGAGGAGGGGGGAGCGGGGGGGGAACGGAGTGCAGAAAGGGCCAAGAACTTTCAGCTCTAGAAAGTCCAGCAGGACGAAGCTTCCTGCCTCTACAGGGTATGCTTATACAGGCTAGGCCCGGCGCTGTCACATCCAAGTCCATGTGGTTGGAGTTGGGTCGTGCACAACTTGCCCAGCCCTATGCTGAGCCCAGTAGTCTGGGCAGGTGTCCGGTTCCAGCCCTTTGGGGGACAAACACAAAGTTGCCTGGCCTGTCCAGGCCTCTTTCTCCTGCCAAGAGCCTTTTCACTCACTGTCACTCTTCCTTCATCTCTGTCACCCCAAGACCCTCCTAAAACATCTCTCTGGAATCACAGTCGGGTGGAGGGGAGCATAGGTCTCCACCCACAACACGGTTACACGGTTCGCTGACCTCTGCTTGCTCGCTGCAAACGCACTTGGCCTTGCCGGAGATCCCCAGGGCCGCGAGAGGCCGCCAGGTGGCGCTGCCCGAGCCCGGCGCCCGCAGCAGGTGCCGGTGGCGCGGAAAGTCCGCGAGTGGGATCCCAGGTGTCCGGCGGTCGCGGCCGGGGGAGGAGGTCGGCCAGTGCAGTTCCGGACTCGCCGGACGACCTCGGGCCCCGCGGCCGCGCACCCCAGAGCCCTCCCCTACTGCCCAGGCTACGCGATGGGCGCTCGGGGCGCGTCCGGCCCTTGCGCCCGTCTCCCCAACTGGAGCCGAGCCCCCGGCCTCCACCGCCCGCACCCCGGGCCAGCCACTTCCCGGAGAAGGAGACGCAGGGGTCGCCCGCCCCCGCGCCCCACGTCCCATCCCCGAGGGGTCCCGGGGGCCGCCCGCACAGTGGCCCCCGCCCCGAGAAAGGAACCTGATGCTCCCGAGGGCCCGGGCCCCTACTCACCGTGGAGCTTCTCTCGCCTTCCCCAGGGTGCCCATGGCCGCAGCCCGCGCGCCCGGAGCCGCCTCACCTAGCGCGGCGGGACGGGCTCGGTGGAGCGCGGCGCATCGCCACCGCCACCGCCGCCGCCTGCCGGGCCCCCTGCCCGGGCCTGCCGCCCCCGGGCCGCCCACCCGCCGCTCTCCGAGCCGGGAGAGCCCGACCGAGGCGCACCGCAGGCACAAACTTTGTGCAAGCGCGCCCTCGCCCTGTCGCCCTCCCCCGGCGCGCGCGCACACTCACACTCGCCCGCACGAACCACCTGACAAAGGCTGATGTTATCGGCTGGAGGAAATGTGTGGCGCTCCTCAGCTCTTCTCCGAAACCGGCCCCCATCGCTCAGTGGTGCCCGGCGGCCGGCGCCTCGCGCAGTCCCGCCTTTCACCCTTGCTGTCGGCCTCTCCCAGCCCGAGGGCGAGGTCCGAGCTGGAGCTGGAGGGCTGGGGAGGCTCGGGGCGCACGGGACCCCACCACCCCTGCGCCTGGGGAGGAGGGGGGAGCCCGAGGAGATGGGCTTCGCCTAGCGGCTCTCGGGGGACCCCCCGCCCCGCCGCCGTCCCGCATTCCAGTCCTGGCTCCCCAAGACCCCGTGTCCCCTCGCAGGCCTCTCTTGTATATACCAGAGCGCAGAGCCGGGGGCGGGGTAAGAAACTAACACACACTGGTGGATTCGCCTTTGCTGCGCCTTTGGGTGTCCTCTTGGTAGCAATTTGCAGGACTGGTTGGGAGACACACGCCCTGCTCCCTGCAGGAGGCGGCGGGTGTGCAGGAGCACTCCGGGGGCGTGATCCATATCGCGCGAGCAACAGCCGCCTGGCGTCTGTGAGTGTGGGAAACGTGGGGAGACGGGGACAGGCGTGGGGAGAACCTTCTTACAGTGACCTGGCCTGGAATACGGCCTACCCCTTTGTCCGAATGATAGTGATGGTAACCACAGCTACCGCTGGCTGAGCGCGTTGTGCTAAGCACTTTCTCTACATCGCCTCCTTTAATCATCTCCCCCAAATTCCAACTGGCCACTATTTTAAAGATGAGAAAATTAAGCTTTAGAGAATAATATGCCTCCCATCACACAACTAGTAAACAGCAGAGAGAACTATGACCTGGGCTGAGAGCCGTCTGACTCCCTGTGATGGCTGCTGTAGTGTCCTAATGACACACCCATTGTCACCGTCACATGCCAGAAACTCCAGCCACAATAATAGGTCTCTTCCCAGCCATAATGTTCTGGACCTCAAAGCCTCCCTCTGTGATTTCTCTTATATATTTCCTCATATTTATATGCCACCTTGTCCTAAAAAAAAGATCTCAAGATAGCTTTCAAAGGTACATAACCTACAAAGAGAAGTTCGAAAAATAAGGCACATAAAATGGAGTCAGAAATGAAAGTCTTTAAAAAAAAGGAAAAAAAAGCACCCCAGAGAGTCCAATACCCTTGCTACAAGTGGGATCAAAGTTTGTCCCCTGAGTTTCTAGCAGTCAAGTTCGAAAGGGAGGCCTGTCTAAAACTCGGTTCCTGTCATATGCAAGAGCAAAAAAAGAATGCTCGAGAGAAGATCATATCTTTTTGATACTGAGACCATAAACAAATTTCTCGAGAGAATCCTTGTGAACTTTGGGTAATAGAAAGAACCAAGTTCTCAGGCACAACCATGTGTGTAGAAGGGGGCATGTGGCTATTTAATAAATATTAAATTGTGACACTCTTGCAGACCTGTCCTGTATATGCATATGTATATGTGTCAAGTGGATAAACACATGCCTTTATGTAAATACATAATTATGTGTAAATATGTGTTTAGATAGATAAGCTATTTGGCGTATGCTAAACACACATGTAGGCAGGTGCATGCACCTATCCACCTGCAGTCCATTATGTATATAAGTATAGAAATGATTAGTTATTAGTTCAGTTAAGAAATGAGTCTTGCTGAGTTTTCTAAAGAAAAGGCCTGCCTCTGCCTGGGCACCTCCTTCATCTCTGGCTTCCTGAGAGCTCTGCCCTCCACTTGCACCTGATTCTGTTTCTGGGCCCGCCTGAGCTCTTTGATGAGGCTTTCTGGCGGTCCTTACCTGAGCAATTTGTCTTTTCCAAATACCCAAAAAATCAGAAGTTAGCTCTGTCTCTTTCTTCATCTTTTGCCGTGTGGTTAGTCTCCCCGGTGTTGTCTGAGGCACCTCTGACCTCAAGAGCAAAGTTCTTCTTTTCTCAAGTTCTCTTAGCCTCTCTTTTGCTTGTCCTACCTCTTTGATGGGCAGTAGTCAATGTCTCTGTAGCAGGTGAGAAAGGTTGGGGACCACTGTCTTCCTCTGCCCACCCCTTGGGTGAGGTCATTCCTTGGGACTCTTTCTCTGTCCTTCTTCCTCTTTTCACTCAGGCATTCTTAACTGATGTCCAGGGGCCTTTTACTTGGCTTTTTTCACTTGGCAGGTATCTAAGCCTCTGAAACTAAAAACACCTGCTTTCATTAGATTTTCATTAAATGGTCCAGTACTCAAATTAGGTGTTTTTATGTTCTTCCATGACTTTGACAGGACCCACATGACTCTCATGTCTGAATAGCCAACCTTGAGGTCTGACATCCACACCCATGTTTCCAACTGGTTACCTCCTTTAATGGTCCCACAGGGCTTCCTCTCCACCTCCACAGCCGCATGTTGGTCTTGGTCCCCGTTATCTCTGAACCTGGACATGTGTAATAGCTTCGTAAATGGTTTCCCCAATTATAGGACCTCCTCTCCTCTGATCCGTCCTTCATATTGCTTTCAGAGTTACATGATCATGTCATTTCTTTGCTTCCAAACTGCCAAGGAATCCCCAGTTGCCTACAGAATAAAGTGCCAACTTCTTAATGTTGTGCATCTTCACAACTGGACCTTACCAGCCATGCCCTCCCAGGCACCTGACCTCTTAGGGTACACCTGGGTCACTCCTGTAGTTGCTGTGCCATGTCCCCTTGCAGGCCCCACTGCTTTTGTTCATGTACTTCCTTCCGCCTGCCATTTCTTTCCACCTGGTAAACACACAGTTATACCAAACGCGTGTCAAACTGGCAAGTCACCCTAGAGGGCACACCCAGGGCTGCATCCCCAATGCAGGGGGGTGCAACCCACCTTTCAGAATCTGCCTGATGACTAGTTGTGCTTGGAGAACCTATTGGCTACCACAGCTTCCACTCTGCTGTCTAACACTGCTTCATCCATTTAAGACATTCACTGGTGCCTGCTTAGCATCAGATGCTGTCGCTGGCATTGAGAATCTGGTAGAGAACAAGACAGACAAGATCTCTGTTCACACGAGCTTACACGTCTAACAGACTGTAACCAAGTCAACAAGTGAACAAATACACCACGATCTTACACCCTGATTTCCAGGAGCTGCCACTTCAGAGTCGAGTTACCCCTGCCCTCTTGGGGACACCATAAGGTATCCCAGTTGAGGCCCCCCCGGACCTGTGAGGACAAAGCTGCCACATTTGGGGTGCACAGATCCAGGCGAGAGTGAAGAGAGATGGAGGGGAAAAGGAGAGATGTGACACTATCCTTTACCTGCCTGCTGACTGCTGCTCCTATTTCTGAGACACAGAGAACTGGCCTCGTTATTTCATTACTGTGACTGGCTGTCCCACACAACGGCACATTGGACGCTGTAAATCCCTGCTGCTGTCACCTTGGACCAGGGCGAGAGGAACTGCCCACCTGAGAAGCGACTCTTTGGCTCCGTGCCTGCAGACTGGGGGCCTGTGGCTGGACTCTTGCTTGTTTCACGGTTCTCGGCATCTTCTGGAGGATGCAGCAGCCTCTCTGGGAGTCTCTCCGTCTGTGGGCCAACTGTTCTGCAGAGCGTTTTGTCTCCTTGAGGTACCCCCAGGGTTCTCCAGAGGGAATTTATGAATGTCGGATAAATTATATTTTAAAATAGATCACTCCATATAGAGACCCTACATGTCAATATCCGTTCTTGGTTTCAGCTGCTTTGAAGGATGCTGCCTGTCTCTGTGAAGTCCCTTCTCAGAGCACCACCCCCAAAGTCATATTTATGTGTGGCACAGACACATATTTTTGATTTTGGAATTTTTTTAGGATGCAAACGCAACAAATAAATAGAAATACATGTCATCTCACGGCTTTTACTGTTAGTGAGATGGCAGTCCCTGGAGGGCTTTGAGCAGAGGAGGGGCGCGATCTGACTTCTGCTTTATAGGGGCACTGGGGCTGCTGAGTACCACAGGGTCTCATGGGAGGTAAGGGCCAGAGGTCCTCCGTGAAAGCAGCCTTCATAATTTCCAACTTCAGGGTCCCCCAGGTCAGTGGCTTTCAAACTGTTTGGAACATGACTCCATGGTGAGAAGTGTAAAATCACATTTTACATTCTGTGACTCAGATGTACATTTATGCCACATGTAAAACTGACACACAAGCTGTATGAAATATGATCCTTTCACATCCTTTTTTTATGCCATTAAAAAACAAAGGCTAGTCAGAACCCACTAAATGGATCCATTACTGGGTTTGGATCATAGGTTCCAAAATACAGCCTTAGGCTCACCTCTCATGATAACAATAGATCTTGCTGTTACTTCCGGAAAAGGGAAGCAGGTGGCTCTGAGTAGGGGGCGGATCTTACTTTTCATTGTTTCCCATCTTATTACTTTTATTTTTATATTATGTGCAAACATCCATTCAATAATTAAATCCGACATAAATTCAATAATTCAATAATTAAATTTCAAATCATTTTGGCATAGAACTTCTTGCTTTCTTATTCTGGACTGAATGGCTTCAAAAAACCAGAAGCTGGGGCCAGCAAAGGTAAGTCGCCATGAATCTGCTTTGTTCAAGTTTATCAAAAAATGTCAAACAAAATGTTTTTCACAAATATTTGGGAGGCAGAATGGCAGAGAGTTAAAAGTGTGAGCTCTGGAGCTAGAGAGATTTTGAATTTCAGCCCTCGTGCTTCCTGGTAACATGACGTTGTGCAAGTTAACTTTTCTAAGCCTCAGTTTCCATGTCTGTGAAAATGGGCATAGACAAGGCCTACCTCATGGAACTTTACTAATGATTATACAACATGGTCTATGCCCAGCATGTTGTAACCACTAAAGTCATATTAATGTTTTGAGTGATTACTCTGTACCAGGTCGTGGGCATATAAGGTGAATGTTTCAGTAACCCAGTAAGTGCCACGTGATCACATCCAAGGGACACTTTGGTTCTCAGTTGATAGGGAGCTAGCTACTCAGGGGAAATGAGGTCTAGGTTAAGATGCAAAGGGTGAGATGAATAGTGAGCCAAACAGAAGTGAGAAGATGAGAGGAGAGGAGAGGGCAGGTGAGGGGAGGGAAGGAGGTGAAGGGAGAGGAGGGGAGGGGAATGAGGAGGAGAGTGGGGAGGGGAATGGGGAGGGGAGGGGAAAAGAGGGGAGGGGAGTGGGGAGGCCAGGTAAGTAGGGAGGGGAGTGGGAAGGGGAGAGGAGGAAGTGGGGAGGGGAGGGGGAGGGAAGGGGTGGGAGAGGGGAGAGGCGGGGAGGGGAGGGGAGTGTTTCAGAGAAAAGGAAGATGCAGAGGTAAGGAAGAGGAAGGGCAGAGATCTTTGCTGAACTACCACACTCAGGAACTTATTCCGATTCTCCCCACCTTCTGCGAATATATAAATAAGACTCCCAAGTCTGACTTAATCTTATTGCCTTTGCAGAATCTGAGAGGCTTCACACCTTGAAAAGACCCCATGAGCTTCTTAAATCCCTCGCTCAGCTTCAGCTGTGATTCAATTAACACCACTCCTCGGGTTTGCCGTTGGGTGCTTAAGACAAGCGGTGCTGAAAAGAGGGCTGAGTGAGTTAAAATTCCACACTGGCCTTCTTTTCAAAGGGCTGGCATTGCAATCTGGGCAGCCATCATTTAGATGCTAAAACGAGTTAGCAAGACAGCCACTATTTTTAAAACTCCTATTGTGCACCCAGCACCCTGTTAACTTTAATAATGCTTAATAATTTAACACCAACCAAGACGAATGGGTAAAAGCTGGAAAAAAACAGTTCATAGAAAGATTCAAATGGCCTGGACCAGCCAAAGGATGTGGTTTTCTGGGTGCAAAAACTGTTTAATATGCATTCAAAAAAGTACTGCAATAAGCATAATATTGAAATAAAAACTCCTGAGTATTAATAGATACACTTGCGTGTGCGCAGTGGAGAAAATCGATGTAAATTAATAGGGGTGAGCGCTTCTCAAATTGGCATCCTCCGCAGATGCATCCTTAAGGGTCTAGAAGAAATGTTTTTCCCCTTAAAAGGGGTCATAGTTTGGTCATGTTTAAGAAATGCTAAAGTAGGCCATTTCACACACAACTTACGAGAGTTGTACCGCTTGATTTTGACAGTGGAGCTGTAATACCCCATCCTACTCCTGCCAACGCTCTTCCCCACCCACGGGGCACGTAAGTATCTTTTTATTTGGTCTGATTCTCTGTCATGGGAATAGTGAGGGAAACTTTCATGGGCAGAGGGAAGCCTTAGGAAAAGAGTAACTTGGGACAGAATAATCCACCTTCTATTTGTCTCTGGCTTTGCAAGTGGGAAGTGAGGCTGTGTCGCCCCATGAAGGAGGGTGTGTCTTAACCCTGTGGGTAACTGTGTTCCCTGAGCACAGAGTTTTGTGTTTCAAAAATAACAGTGTCACACCCAAGAGAGCTCTGTGAAAATTAGAAATGCATTGATTACAAAACAAAGCTGAAAGCTTGAATTTGCTGCGAGCATCGATCAACATTAACCTGCTTCCATGTCTCATTGGCAACAGACTCAAACATTTTAGTTGAAGTCATTTCTTAGCATCCATCCAAATGATAGCCAAAATCTACTGAAAAGAAAACTGTCTTCTTTTGCTTTGTTTTGTTTTGTTTTCTGGACCTTGCATCAAACTGAGAATACTTACCTCTGAACGAAGTGTGCAGCTAGCGGAGTCTGTGTTACGGCTTCTAAGTACGGATGGAGAACTAACCAGCAACCAAGATGGTCAGCCCAGTCTTCAGCTTAATAGATTTTGAAGTAAATTAATCAGAGAAAAGTGTCATCCTGTGTTGTGATAAATCCAGTCAGTGCTCATTTATGTGTGATTTTCAAGAGTCCCCGAAGTCAGGTTTTGCTCCCCAAGGAGGGTTGCCTCATGCTGCATCTTAATTTGAACCGCGCAGGTGTGATCCGCTGTAGCGTTAGTGGCTTTGACGTCATTAGTTCGTAACTGGGTGAGGGGTGTGAAGAAATCTGGGTTAGACTTATGACAGAAATAGACAAGTTATATATAATCAATACTGGCAGGTGTTTCAAAAATCCTCTTAAAAATCTAAGTCGCTGTGACTTTTGTCCTGTACCAGCCAGAGGAAGTAAATGGGTGGAGTAGGAGGTGAGGCGAGGTGGTGAGTTTGTCTCAGGCCCTCCCCACTTAAGACCACTCTAACCTCAGCAGGAGTGGCGGGGCCACATTTTGACGTTCCTGGGCCCCTTCCTCCATAAAAATATATTTAAAAGTATGTTTTATGATAGCGTTGGCATAAAGACGCATATAATCCAGACTGGATTCATTCATTCTTATCATATTCATTTTTTCCTTCTGACCTTAAAAGAAATTAAATCAAAACATTTTCCTGGGTCCTTATAAGTCCTGTGGGCTCTAGGCACTTCTCCTGCCAGATTTGTGGGCCCTGGGAGTTAGACTGGCTCCTTCAGGAAAGACAAAGAGCTCTTTCGTGGCTCCAGGAGAGTTTGTGGCTTCCAGTTGTTGAGAAACTTTGGTGCAAAATAAAGGGAAAGGTGAGTTTCCAGGAGGAGTTTCCTCCTGTCCCTTTTGGTCATGCGGTAGGGAGGAATATGAAAGATTTCCCGGACAGCAGTAAGGTGAGAAGTGGGATGAAAAGTAAAGACTTGCCTGGGGAGGAGAGAAAGAATTAGGGGCTCTGGAGGGTCATTCAAGGCCAAAATGGGGCCCACCTTAAAGGGGTCAAAAAACAGTACTTACTGACCACCTAGCTGTTGGGACTACGGAGGGCTCGTCCCATACCAGGGAGTACGTACCTATTGCTTTCATGTTAGACTTCAACTCGGGGCTGTCTTACACAGAGGCCTAGCCAGAAAGGACCTGCCAGCCCTTGGACTATTGCAAAGAGTAGGCTAGGCTATTGGGCAAAATTGGTAGGCGGCAAAAACAAGCAAGCAAACCAAAAAAAGGGCCGACTTACATGTGATGCTATGCTGAGCTATATTCTATGATGGAATACAATGCTTTTTACTTGTTTCTCTGTATTTTCTGTTTACCATAAATTCCTCATGACGGTGATAGGAGCCAACATGCTGAGTGCTTCGGACATGTCAAGCACTGTGCCAAGAGGAAAGTATCCATTATGTCACTTCATCCTCACAAAAACTTCGTATGGTTTACCATTGTTGTCCCCATGTTATAGATGGGGGATCCAAGGCTCAGAAGGGGTAAGTAACTCACTCAACGACACATAGCTAGTGAAAAGTGAAACTGGGTTTTAAGTCAGTTTGATTCTGGAGCCCAAGCTTACCACCGTTTTGCTATATTGCCCACTCATAACATATTAGATTTTGCACCCGAAATAGTTGCGCTTGTTGGCTCTTGCCCATTATGAAGTTCTGGGTGAAGTAAAGAGGATAAGCAGCCAGCGCTAACTATATTATTGATGATCTCAATGAAAGGCTAACCTTTAGCTGTCCTTCAACCACAAGTTACCAACCTGAGTGTCCTTGGGGTCAGAATTTTTGTCTGGTTACAGCTGTTCCTCAGCTCAGCTTAAGCTAGAATTCTCTCTAAAAAGACGCGGCCATTGGAGAGGAGACGGAGAGCCACTGACCTGAGACTTGCTCAGGCCTTACCCCGAGCTTTCACTTTCGTTATTTGTAAAGTGAAAGTACCAGTGTTATCAATGTGCTGTTAAGACGTAGGTCCGGCCTTGTTACGGTAATATATCAGCTCTCACATGACAGGTGCCAGGTGTGGGTGTGTGTCTACACATGTGAATGTTTCCTTAACAGATGGGGCTAAAAACGTGGTTCCCATTACAATCTATTCTCCGTGATTCCTTTTCTAGGGGCTTTGGTCTTCTCCTTAAGAAATCAGGAACTCTTAGATCAAGTAATACAAGCATTGTTCCTTAGGGCTTTCTTACTACAACCCGAGAGGTTTGATCTGTTTGTTTGTTTGTTTATGTGAAAAGCGTTTTAGCTCACTATTATACTTTTAAAAATTCTCATGATTGAACTATTAATGGAGTTGAAGTCCAATCGTAAAGGCTACTCTCAACAGGTGTGCCTATTTTTCTGCAGTGCCAATATAAATTTAAACATTTGGTCTAACTTGGTCCAATTGGGAGTTAAGACTGATTTTGGCTTTTCTGAGTTTTGGATGATTTTTGTCCAGTCCCTCAAGTTCCAAGCCTCGACCATCCTTTCCAGGAACATGCCAGAAACCGAGCATTCTCACTATCTTCCAACCTTGTTGCCCTCCCCAGCCTGCGCACAGCTCTGATACAGATCTGGGCACTGAAGAAAAAGGGTCCCCACGTACCTTCCTCTCAACACAGGGTGAATCCCATGCTTGGAGTTCCTGACTCAGTGGTGCTGCTTTTCTTCCCGCTCCCCCGTCTCTCTGGAGGACCCACGGGTGATGCATAGACTTCTATTTCCTGCTGTTCTATCAGGGCCTTGCTCTTGCAGGACATTTGAGGACCACTTTTTATCTTCTAGTTAACGTGACACCTGGCCTTTCTGCCAGCCCCATGAGTTCATGCCAAATCCTGTCCTTGCAAACCCTGGAGTCCATGCAGGAAGGGTCAGACGGTCAACTATCCAGGGTGCCTATAAATCAGACGGGGGCTAGAGCTAAGAACACACAAGGAGATGCAGCAAGGAGGATGGCCCACCTACTTTCGGCTTCTGCTGCAAAGAAGCATGATAGGTCCAGCTTCCTGAAAAATTGTTTAACTGTGTCCCACCCTGCTTCATCCTCTGGGGAAAGAGTTGTCCTCTGCTCACACTTGTGTGTTTGCCCTTGTTACTTGGAAGTGGGTTCAAGCTGCCTGAGACTGACAACAGTCTTGCATTAGTATTTTTTATGCCATAACTTTCCTGAGGGTGTGGCTATCCCAAACCTAGAATAGGCTTCTGAGAGTCAGGAATTGCTTTCGATTCAGATGCTCAAGGCCCAAGGTTTTTGGCAGAAGCAGCTCTTTCTGAACAGTAAGTCATTGTTGAGTGACAGGAATAGGACCAGAGCTAAAGAAAATGAAGGTTTCAAAAGACTGCCTGAAACAAAAGTCTTTTCAGTCCCCGATATTCGGGGATATTTGGGGTTTCATCCCCATTGAACCAAGGCTGCTCATGTTACGGGGAGAAAACACACGCACTGTGCTGGCTGGCATCCAAGTACACTTTGATTGGCAGGTCAGCTGCCATTTCAGGATATGAAGTTCATCTGGAAGGGGAAGAAAGCGAGAAGCCTTTCCTGTTTTATCTGCGTTTATTCCCATCTTGTATTTCCTGAGGGACGTGGCTGTAGTTACGGGTAGATATCAAACAGAAATCATATCATTCCAGCAGAGAAGAGAACTCAGGGAAATGGTTGTAAGTTTACCAGGTTCTTCCTTCTTCCCTAGGTCCATGTTTTTTGTTGTTTCCTCTTTCGAAAGTGAGGTCTAGCTTTTCTTAAGGAGGTTTGATTGAGATCTCAGCCAGTGCTGATCTGGAGGACTCAGGAGGGTTTTGTCAACTGTGGTGTTGCCCGTAGGAAGTGAATCCTGTCTGGGCCTGGCTGGAAAGACACAGCCCTCTAAGACCTCCCAGGACCTGTGGACATTGAAAGATGGACTGGTCTCCTGGGGGAGATTTAAGGTTGTGGCGTCCCCTGGAAACACGTAACCAGGAACTGTCTAAAACAGGGCAGTTGCAGACTTTCAGGGCTGAGGGGGAAATCCCAAACCTTTCTGGGTTTTTCCTGGGATTTCAGTAGACAGGTGGCTCCCCTTAGTTCACAGAGGAGTTTCTATCCCTGTTTATTGTTCGTTACTCACGAGAGTCCTCCCAAGACGCAGAGACAAGCGACTTGTTTTGGGCCACGGGGTGAATCATTAACAAATTGGGAATGGCATCATGTCTTCAAAATCTAGATTTGCCTCGTGACCAAAACAGCATCAAGTCTTTCTTGAAAAGATTATGTCACAGGTGGCAAAGCATTTGTCTTTGCCTGTCTTCATCTCATTTCTCTTTCCTGGTTTCTAGCATGTATTGTCTGAAAAGTATGATTAGCTTTCATAATTGATCCACATTATACAATTCGACTTTTATATGCTCCCTCTCTGCTAGTTATTTTGTTTCATTAAAATAGGCAGAAATCCACGTAATCAAAAAAAAATAAAATAAAATGGCATATGAAATTGCCTATAGCCCGGGAATCATCCCCATTGCAACCCTTGCTCTGTGCTGCGCTTGGTGTTGTGGTTTAGGGGAGCACGTACCCGCTCGATCCCTAATAGCCATTTTAGTGTTGACTATATCATTTTTGTTTTTTATTCAAGGACTTGTATATGTAAACTGAAAATATACATACATTTTTACAATGAATATTTTAAATGTTAAAAATCTTCTGAACTTCATAGCTTGTTTTGCTGAGAAAAAAACTCTAAGAACATTGATCAAGAATCTGATGAATTTCTGGAGGGGCCAGATGGTCTCAGAGGTTTAGTTCCCTCTCTTCTTCTCTCAAGTAGCCCCAGCTAGAACACCCCTAAAGTAGTTTCCAAAAGGGATAGGACCTGGGGGAGGGGCCAGAGCCCATCAGACTTTGAGTTTTGCAGAGTTTTCCCCAGTTTTAAGTAAACATTTACTGTTAGGTTGTTAGTTCAATTCTTTTTTTCTTTGCTTGACACACTGGACAAGTCACTCACTTCTGGAATCTTGGTCTCCCCGGTGGTGCTCTAGCTGGTAGCATCTATGATAATTTTCACCTCGCTTAACATTGACTGAACTCCATGCTCTTCAATTAGACAAGTGATACAGTAAAATATCATTAATCCGGACTCCATACTTTTAGAGGTTAGTAATTCCAGAGGGATGAGATGAAGCTTGCTGTTTCTTAAATATATATGTGAAGAAAGGGTTTATTAAGCCTAAGCATATGATTTTAGGAGCAAATAATTTACCTGCTAAGAAGAAAACTGCCTTTGAAGATGCAAATACATTTTAAACACTGCTGCTACTAATTACAGAGAAGTTTAGCAAAGTAGACTGAGCAGCATTCTAGAAGAATCTTTAATTAATATATGTCCTGTAAAGTTAAAAAAATAAAGATAACAGCATAAACCTCCATATCCTTAAAGATATTCTGTAGATGACATTTTGGTTTTCTCTTAAACACGACATTGACCTTCTTCATACCAATGGGTCCAAACTTAAGAAGTTTAAGATGTCATAATGTTACAAGCTTTGGAGTGACAGATTGAATCATGACTTTTTGAGGGCAATCTAAGAACCTTTGGGATTTAAGTGTGATCTTCAAATATGTGGGTCTGTCTAGGTGTGTGTGTTTGTATGTGTCTGAGTGTGTGCACCCATGTAGGTGTGTGTGCTATTATGATAAATTGTCAGTGCCAAAGGATTTTAAGGCAGCTGGCCCAGAGAAACGAGCAAGGGCGATGGAAGCTACTTATCTGGAAAAGTGGAAAGAAATCATCTCAGAACTTTGAAGTTAAGCAAAAGAAATAAAGAGAAACTTCACAGCATAAAAAACGAAGGGGAAAATAGGAGGCTAGTGTCACTTCATCATAAATATTCAGATCTTTGGCAGGATAAAAAAAAGGAAAAACCCACTAGAATAGACTTTCTGAAGTAGATGGTTATTTCTACATTTACATAGTGTTTATGTTAGGAGATAATAAATGAGTTTTGAGGTTTGTGTCTTAGAACAACAGGCCTGTAGTCTATCCCTGACTGGCAGTGAGTGAAAAAAAATTCAAGCAAATCCAAGCAAGTTTTAGGGAGAACACGGACATGCAGGGCTCCTCCGGGAGCGTTGATTCTAGTTCGTAGAGGATTTCTGACTCAGCCCTTTAGTGCTGACAGGTTGCCTGACTCCTCTGAGGCTGAGTTTAAAGTGACAGACGCGGACAGCACGTCAGCTTTCTCTTCATCTTTCCCTGACTGTGGTGCTCTCAGGATAAATGGGCACTGTCCCAAAACGAATATTTTTGTGGATGTCAAGTGTTCTTTGTTCACACGGATGACCCCTTCCCACACTATTTGGATTTTTCTGTCCAGATATTATTTGGCATTTCATAGTTTCCAAGCCATTTCCAGCCATTAATAAACCCAGCCTGCC